ATTTTTATCAATTGTAGATTACTAGATATATAAAGTTCACTTTCCTTATCAGTTCGTATCAAGCAAGATAAAGTTTAGTCTATCCAAATGCATATCTCTACCACGAAGTGTTCTCTAAAATATTAACAGACCAGAATCCAAACATATTGATAAGAAACCCGAACTGGCATCTCCTTTGCGGGTTAGATCTGCTTTCATTTCAAGCCACCTAAGTTGCCTTGATAAGAAGATAGAAGGACGTAACCACTTGCTTGCGTCAATACTTTCACTAGAAATCTTAATAGAAGCTCCAAGTTTATTTTCTTCATACTTCATCGATCTTTCAAACTTTGAACTAGGAGGGGAACGCCTCTAAACGCTGCTTTACGCAAGTGTAGGATGTAGTTGCTTGAAAAGCTAGAGCGTGGATCTAATCGGTATTTAAAACAGCAAGTGGAGCAAGGACATCTGATTTGGTCGAAAAAAAAGTACTTACTCTGCCTTAATTAAGACGCGAAAGTATTACTTTCCAATTCATTTATAATAACTCGTCTAATCGATTATGGCTAAAAATCCAAGAGCGAGAAAGAACTCATATTGTAAAAAAATTTCAAACAAACGGCAACACTAACACAAGCCTCCCGGCTGTCAAATAAAAATGAACGTGGCGCATACAACTATTCATAATAGCTAATGGGCGACGCGAGTGCTTAGGAAGCAATGGGTAATACACGTAGCAATGGAGTTGACAAACGGGCCCATTTGCTGCCTCATGTAAAACTCTTTACTTTTTAGCTTTTCTTTCATTTTGCGCTGCCATTCTCTGTTCCGACAAAAATGCATTCACTGCACACTACTTCATTTACCGTTTACCAGCAGCGCGAAGTAAGCTATACCGCCTGTGACGCTATTATTTCCTGCCTCAACAGAGAACTCCTTGTTTCTATGTCCACAGCACTCGTTCACGCGCTTTCTAGCCCGCTCGCTCCTTTGCACAGAGGCATGCCGCTTTTCAGAGAATTTTTCCTTATTCTGTTATATTTCTTTGTATAATTATATGAGTAAGGCTCTGTGGAAGTGTAAGTATGTATGTGTGTGTACCAGGCTTGTTACGGAATGTACTTTATAGAGCGAATTTTTGTATTTGACAACGTCTTAGAATTTCCGGCAAACCAAGCTGCCTGCCACTAACAGTTTGTCTTTGTCGCCGGCTCCGCTACCTCGAATGGCAGTTTGAGGCTAACTTTTTTACTTTAGGCCGCTGCATTTTTTCCAATTTTTTCATATTTTTTTTTATTTGTAGAAAATATTTTTATACATTTTACTTTGACAAGAAAGTGCCAATATTTTCCTGTAATTAAAGGAAATCAACAGAGTATATATCAAAGCTTTTGGCAAGCTAGTAACAGACGGATGTCGACTAATGAAACTAGCTAATTTAAACAGAGTAGTGAACGATATATGGTGTAAGGTTGTGCGACTTGGCTACTAACATACAAAGGTATAAAAAAAGACGCAATTAGCTAATTGCTTTGAAGAATTTTTCTTCTAATTTCAAAATAATTATCTAAGCATATGTACTGTTAGCTGCATTTGATTCGCCATAACTTGGAGAGTAATGAATCAATCTTAAAATTGGTATAATCGAATACATATAAAATACCAAACGTTATACCAGTTCAGTGACTAAGTAACGTTCAAGCATTCACACGTAATTTTTTTTCAAAAGGCAGAAAAGTTCAGCAGAAAAGCGGTAAATCAGAAGCGATTTTGTGTCGAGCCTTTTCGAACAACTGTTAAGTTTCAATGAGAAGTTTTGTCATGCTTTTTCTTCTGAAGCAGTTTTTATTAACCTTGAATTAACTCCGAAAAAAATCTTTTTCCCAGCATCGAAATTACTCAACGAAGAGAGAGAGAAAATTAGGATGTTTTGTTTATAGTCTAACAAAAGATGATCCAGCCCTCGAATTGTTTTATAACTAGTGGTGTAAGCAGGTGATTTTAGCTTCTAAAATTTTTTTATATTACAATATTTTCCCGAATAATTTTTTCTTGTCTTAGGAAAGTTACCTTATCCTTATATATAATACAATATATAGATTTATACTCGAAGAAATTTTCGATATGATGTAATTGAGGCCTCAGTTTTTACAAGTTTGTTGCCTAAACAAGAATTCCTTACACTTTTAAAATGATTAAAACAAAAAACCATCTCCAAATACTAGTAAATGCTGCCTTGTGTTGCTTGTTATAAGGATTGCCGGCAATGGATGGCATTAGGATGTAAGCCCAAATGAAATTGATTTGATAATTTTTACTATGTTTGTAGTACAAGTCAGATACTTCTTGAACTAAAGTTTTGAAAGAAACTATTGAACAAGTAAGGAATGCCTAAGTTCGGTTGTAACCGAATATTTTATACTCTTGCAACTTGCAAGTATCAAAGTCCGGTAAACTAAGAAAAGTATGGTTATGATTTATCCATTTAAGGCGAGTGAATACACTGTTATGAAAAAGAGTATATTTCTGAATTTCCTTAAAATTCCTTACACATTTATCGATAGGTGCAGTATACAGTGAACCAGAAGTTCGAAAATTTATACTAGGTATATGTGGGCTAAGAGAAGCATCGAACCGATTTCAATCATTTTTGGATGAATTACCTTGAGGGCACTATTTGTACAAAGTTTTATTCTGATAACCTAAGGGGCGTTATTTGATATAATTGATGTTTGATTTGTATACTGTATAGTGAAAGAATTAGATGGAATTTAAGTGTGTTATATGGAAAGTAGACGTGGTTGTACTCCAATTTTGACCATTTCCTTAGTGTCTAATTAGAATGTTAGGGTAACCTCAGACACCAAATTTGGTTGAATTTAGTCAAGTAGCTCCTGAGATATAGGATTAGGTGGGCCGTGCCACGCCCATTGTTCATCTGCTCCTATAAAGATCTTCCTTACCATCATGGTTGTTAAATTTATTGCTTGCATTTAATACGCATATATTCAGTGAGTTATCGCACTTTTAGCGGGTTTCAATATAAGCGTTATATGGTGAGTGGGCGTGGTTATTATCAGATTTTATCCATTTCCACAGAGTTTAAAGGGGTGTTAAAATGACTTCATCTCAGCATGATACAAACAACCGTTAGATGAACAAAGCTATTATACTCTGTAGCAACATGTTGCAAGAGTATAAAAATGATAATGGTAATGGAGTGTTTTGTAGCAATATTTCCTTGGATTTATTTGTCTGGAAAAATTTTAGGAGGAAATATTTGGTTCCGAGAACCGTATCCATTAGCATTAAAAGAGATTGCTAAGCGTTAGTACCAGTTTTCCTAATCTTCAGACATTAAGGGTAAGAGTATTAAGACTCGAGTGAACAACTATCTATATAAATATTTGAATTCAAGATTCAGATTTTGAGTTGCGATCTATGTATTGGAATGAGGACCTTGACTTAGAGTAATGATATAGAATATAGTATAGAATGAACTCTGACATTTGTGTTCACTAATTTATCAAGCTAAGTCAATAAAGTCGATTCCAGAGTTTCTACTTCGATCATAACTAAGTTCTTTTATCTTAATACCTTATAGATCTAAGGCAAATAAAGAAGTCTGTTTTTTTTTTTTTAAGATTAACTGACGGGATTATGAAAACTAACTAACAATTTTTAAGTAAAGCCCAAACGGGGTACAATACAGTCAAAAAAAATTAATACTTGAGGCTCAAGATTTACCATTATGTATCGAGAAATTACCGCTATTTGTAAAACTTTTTCTTATACTATTTGGTAGCGGCTTTCTTCAAATAACTTTGGTAAGATCGACACTGCTACTTGTAAAGTCTCAATAATGACGGTAACTATTATCTGTCATTAAAATTCAACGGCAACCTGAGGATTCCGCAAGAGCATCCTACGTAACACAAAAAACCGCTATGATGCATTTACTTTCTATGACTTAAGATGAAGTAGTTAGATGAACGAGGAAATCGTTTGGTTTATTTCTGGGATAAATATGCTGCATTGACAACTGCAACAGATATTTAAACGCTTATGGAGTCGACATAAGTCAGACCAATGTTCATATCCAGTATCCGATCAGTATAAATTAAGCGTAGTCTACGAAAAAGACGCAAAAGATTTATTATATGTGATTATAATTTTTAAGATTTATCTGTACTTCAATGTTTTTGTCACTTTAATACCAGAAAATTTTTTTTTTGGGAAGAATGGTAAAATAATTTCAGGCTGCTAAAGGAGCAAAAGCGGCATGCCGAAAAGAGAATTATCCTAATTTAACATTGTGAAATGTAAAATGAGTGCAATATTTTATTTGAATATAACTTTGGTTTGTTTTTTATTATGATTACTTTGTTAATCCATTTTTTTGTGCTTTTCTTTTCGTTGATTGCCCATAAGAATAAAAAATTGATATAACAAAGTTAATTTGATCAGAAAGACTGACAATAAAATAGAAGGAACCCAAATAATATTAAAAAAAATTAAATATACCTATATATGTTATGAATGTGTTTGTATATAATATAATCTGTGATTTTCTTCATTCTACCGTATAAATTCACTCGTTTTATGCTTTGCCTTTAAGGCATACAACTGGCATTGTTCGAAGTAGATAGAATAAGAAATAAAATGTTGACCTTTTTTCTTGTTACGGACTTGCCGTTAACCCTTTTTTACATGTCAGTGAACAGTGAACAATACAAAGCAATGAAATGATAATGTGGCAGCGCCTCTTCTACTTAATATTATGAATAATTCGAGTATAAAATGACAAGGACATAGATACAGGCCGGATGCAAGGAGTTAAGGGCAGGTCAGAAACGCAATTTTTCCGATTTTTTTAAGAGCATGCATAGCCATTTTTCTACCAATAAATTTTATTTTTTCCGCTTTTTAAAGCCCAGAATATACAAACATTCAAAGCAACAAGGTCTTCGGACCAGCCGAAAAAAAACGCTAAAAACTGATTAAAGATACACGACACTCACCACAACTGGTATGACACAGTAGACGCAAGGATGCCCAGCAGCAGCAGCAGCGGCAACAGTGGGCAAACCGTAAGCGTTCACACACAAATGATCCGTCTTAAAAATCTTCGTTGGCGGCGGCTGAGCCAATATCGATGACGATGAAGCCGCCAGCGATGCGGAGGAGCACGTGTACAGCAGCGGCTGCTGCTGTGGCTGTGATTGCGACAGTTGGTGTTGTTGTTGCGACGTTTGACGTGAAATCAAATTAGCAGAAGCAGCAGCGGAAACGGTGATGGAGCGCTGTGGCACCGCTTGTGTTTGCTGCACCTGCTGTTGACTCAAATAATCGAGTATCGGTGGTGTACCGGTTGATGTTGTTGTTGCTGTAGCGCTCGCTGCTGTTGTCGTGGTTGGCGCTAATGCGTTTGGTGTTGCTGTAATGTCAACAAGACAGTTAGCGTGGCTTGTGTCTGCTTCGTTGGTTGCGGCTGTTGTTGTTGTCGCGTGTGTTGTTGCCACTGCCACTGATGCTTCCGTGTATTCCGTTAAATGGCTATTTGTTGTTATTGGTGTTGCTGTTGCTGCCGCCGCCGCTGCCGCTGCTACTGCTCCTGCTGCCGCTGCTGTTGTTGTTGTTACTGCTGTTGCTAACGCTGTCGAGGCTTCTGCTGTGCCGTCTGCTGCTGCCGATAGAATGAGCTGCTTATGTGGAATGGGGACTGGAGAGGGTTTCCTTTTTATTGACGCAATTTTAGTGCTTATTGATGGCACGTTGGCGGCAAAGATGGCTACGGTTGTGGGCTGGTAGTGCGTGGGACTGTGCGCCTGGTTGATACTAGCTGTGCTATTAATTGTGACTGCCGTTAGGTTTGTCGGATTTACAGTTGTTATTATTGTGTTTGGCGATTTTAAATTCGCTTTTTATGCAATTTTATTACTTTTTCAGTATGTTGCTATTGCTATCGTTTGGAATTTAGCAATTCTTGTTATTTTAATAACTTTTCACTTTAGCTGGTACTGTTGTTGGTAGGTGCTTATAAAGTTTCCAGGTTATTTGCCCAAGAAATTTTTAATTGGATTTGATAAGCGTCACCAGGTTGTGGGTTTATTGTTAATAATTTTGCTATAAAACCTTGTATTATAAAATGTTTAGAGTATTCGAATGGAGCAATTTGCTCACGAAAATCAATGCCTATGTTTATGGGTCGTCACAAGTTTTATATTTTATATTCGGAAAAGTTTCGGAATGATTTCGGAATTTTTCGGAGAAATTTCGGAGTATTTCGGAGTTGTTGTGCAACTTACTTTTTTAAACGATTTCACAAATTTACGAAACTGTAATTTTTTTAGCAAACCTCAAACAACAATTTAATACTTTCACAGATTTTTAATATTTATTCAACGAATTACGCACACATAACCCTCTAAGGTTATTCGCAGTTGTAATGTATTTTTCCGTTGTATTTTTGGGATTACTGATGTTTAAGTACCATACGGACTTTGCTCGAAGTTTATTTCGAAATTGCTTTAAAATATTATAATTTTTCGGAGTATTCAAGAATATTTTGGTTTGAATTGGTTGACAATAATTCTTTGCAGCTTTCAATTCTATATATTTTCCCGTTACTTTTTGTTAATACTCAATACATTCCTATATTTACTTTTTTTAGTACACTAAATTTTTGCATTTTCAAGATTCGATTTTTAAGTTTAAGTCGCGTTATCCAAAATGTATCCAAACTTTATACCAGTTCAGCTCTCCGCAAATCGTACTTTCTTTGTATCTTTGGTGTAAATATTTCAAAACTAGATTTTTTGAATTTTTTTATAAATATGTCTTTTTTATTATAAATACTCTTCGCTGTATTAATTACATCAAAATATTGCAATTTTGTTGGTTTTCAACAATTTTTTAAGCTTTTCAAAAAGATATTTTGTTGTTTCTCTTAGCAATACTTTCGCGTTGGTAGTAATTTCTCTAAATAGTTTTCACCAAATTTCAATAATACAGTTTTACCAAATTTTTTTGACTCAATTTATGAATTTCTGACGTAGGCTTGCCACATTTTTGTTATTTTGTGTAAGGTTTAAAATCGTTTTCAACACTTTAGTAATTTTTGACCGTTTTTTCTCAAATCTCAATATTGTTGTTGCTTTTACCAGTAACGGCAGTATTTAGTACTTACAAGCACATTCAACAAATTTTATTTTTCAAACGTGTTTTGAAATTTTTCCGTAGTTTATTTTGAAAATGATTTAGCTTTGAAAACAGCGATTCGTTCTAATTATTTTTATGTTTTCTTCCGATTTTACAACTAGTTCTTTTGTAAATTAAATCCTTTTAAATTTTCTTTTTTTTATTAACGGTTTAAAAATCCAGACTTTTAAGCAGAAATTCAATATATTCAATATTTTTCGAATATCTTATTTTATATTGAGCAAATCTTTGGCTTTCTCTCAGCTTAATAAATTTTTTTTCTTTTTACTTTTTGTATTACTAGCCAGCTAAATATAAGCTACTGCACTTATTAGTTAAGATGTGTTTTATTTCACGAGAAAACTACCAGTTTAAGTCTTTTAAATTTGTTTTTGGCTATTTCTACACTTTGACAGTTGCTTTAGGTAAAAATATTTTTTTTTTCTTTTTTCAGTTTAAAATAATACTGTTCATTTGCTTAATACGCACTTTCTCAAAACACTAATTTTTGCTAATACATACACAACTACAACAACAACAACACTAAGCAAAGCTAAGCTTACACTCTTCAGCAGCACCACAATTATTTAAAAACACTAATAAATGAGCACAATAAACAGCTGTACGACGGAATTAATATGGCTAAGTACTAAATAACTTTATTTTTGCTAATTAAAAATTGTTGCATTTAATTTATTTTGCAATGCGTTTTGGTAAATATTTGGATTTTTAATTATGTTTTAATTAATCGCAGTTGATTTTTATTTTGTTTAATTATTCTTAATAATTTTAAATTATTTTCGATTATTTATAACTATTTTTAATTTTTTAATTATTCGCACTTATTTTTTAATTAATCGTAATTATTTTTAATTTTTTTTTTCAATTATACGTAATTATTTTTAATT